CACAGTGTCCTTTATCCCCGGACACAAAACATCGTAACTTTATGTGAAGCCCACATACACGCTCCACTTCTCAAGTCTTACCCGCTGTGCAATGGACACCTGCAAAGCCAGTGCCTGGATCCTTTGGTTCCTGGCTCTCAGGTCTCTCTGTGCTGTGACTCTGAGCAGTGCCGAGTCTTTATTCACCCCCACCCCATCCCAACACCTGCTTTGGAAGAACCTCTTGACAGAGGACGAGTCAGGATGTGGCATTTCCATCAGAGATGAAGGTTACGTGGGGCTTGTTCACCTGGCTGTAGTGTGGGATCCCAGTGAACACAGTCCGTGCATCCTACCAGCGTGGATACAGCAGACCTTTTTCAGCTGTTTGCCTGTGGGTCCCTTTTACCTCCTCTCAGTATTCCCTTCAGCTGTTGCAGTTGTGGGAATACGGTCAACCTCACACACCCCCAGCCTTAGTCTAACTCTGCTTTGGCAAAGGTATGACCAGCAACATCTGTGAAGATATCTCCTGTTGCATACAGCTGACTCCAGCAATAGTCTCACCCGTTTTCCCATGCTGTAGCCAGGCCCATGGCTTCCCTCCTTTTGTTTGTGAGTAGGACAGCTCTTCAGCTGTAGCTCTGCTCTGCCTGGGTTGGCTCTGAGAAGTTCTCTCCTCTCCCGCAGCGCGCTCTGGGACATTGAGACGGGGCAGCAGAAGACTGTGTTCCTGGGTCACACCGGAGACTGTATGAGCTTGGCCGTCTCCCCAGACTTCAAACTCTTCATCTCTGGGGCCTGCGATGCTACTGCCAAACTGTGGGACGTGCGGGAGGGCACCTGCCGTCAGACCTTCTCAGGGCACGAGTCCGATATCAACGCCATCTGCGTATGTATGCTGTCTGCATGGTGGTGGGGAGGCAAGGAGAATGGAGGGTGGACCAGCTCTGAAATAGGGTCTTGGGACAAGGTTGAAAGAAGCTGTCACAGTCATGTGGGCAGCAAGGGTCTCAGGAGACCTTGGCCCTGTGATCCAGCCTAAAGCAAGGAGGGCCTGAGTTCACTGAAGTTTGGAGGCTGGCTTCTTCCCAGGCACCGGGGCACCAAAGCATCTAGGTCTGACTGCCGTTCTCAAAGCGCTGCTTGGACTCAGCCAGCACACCATGATCTGTGGAGCTCAGCACCCTAAGACGGGTGCTGGCGCAGCTTTGCTCATAGCAGCTGTTGGGAACCACAGTTCAGGCACGCTCCTGGAGCCCTGGCGCAAGACACAAGTGAGGCAGCAGGAATACCTAAATCAGCTGAGGGTCTTGGTCAGCTCCAGACAGCAAAGGCGGTAACTTGGGATCACAGGGAGATCTTCTGAAGATGGAATCTTCACAGGAGGCAGGTGAGACATTTGGGGGCAAGTATCCCCCTTAGAGGCAAGGATTCAAACCAGAGCCCTAGATGTGGCAGGACAAAAAGCTTGTCAGTTTAATCCCTTTCTGGCAGATCAAATGAGTCTGCCAGCTACCTGCAATGTCTGCTGCTTGAACCACCCTCCGCTGACTTCAATTAGTACAGCCTTTCTCACCTGTCCCATGGCTACCCTGCCAGCCATACAGTTTTCTGCCACACCTGCTCCTGAGGAGCTCTTTTTTGCTCCTCAGAGCAAGGACACAGAAGAGGAGTGTGTATGAGAAGGTCGGGGTATGAGTATCAGACAGAGGAAGGCTGTCGTAGCTCTGAATCATGCCAGACCCCATCTGGGGGATAATGGGTGGACACTTGTCAAGCCCTGAACTAACAACTAGAGTTAAAGAGACAATAATCCTTCCTCAAGCACTGGAACATCTTGCAATAGCTCTAGCCCCTAGGTCTTTGGCTTTCTTGAAGTGGAAGGGGACTACTTGGTCTAAGGAGAAGCATCAGTCTCACCCTCAACTTTTACAATCCAGTGTCTTGTCCCACTGGGTTTTCCTGCCTCTGTGGCTTCCTGGTGGTCAGCAGGGAGGCGAAGATGTCAAGGAAATGTGTAAGGCACAGCCTGATTAAAATCTGGTGTGTGCCCTCCTCAGTTCTTCCCTAACGGTGAAGCCATCTGCACCGGCTCAGATGATGCCACTTGCCGTCTCTTTGACCTCCGGGCAGACCAGGAGCTCATAGTGTACTCTCATGAGAGCATCATCTGCGGAATCACATCAGTCGCCTTCTCCCGCAGTGGGCGTCTCTTGCTTGCTGGATATGATGACTTCAACTGCAACATCTGGGACTCCCTAAAAGCAGAGCGTGTGGGTGAGTGGCTCCTGGAGGTCCCTCTTTCATTCCCTGCAAGGTCTTCTGTCCCTATCCAGGCAAGGAAAAGGCCCTTATTTTTTCTAAAAGGGACACATCCTATATTGACTGAAACCCAACAAAGCTTCCTTGCACTTAAGGAGCACACCATAAGTAGTACAACTACCTTCTATGTAGAAGTATTGTTTTTAATGTTAAGGAAGTCAAGATTTTAAACAACATTGTTTCAAGGGGGAAAAGAGCATTAAGGTTCCTATTAGCTAAAACTGCTCACAAGCACCAGTAGTATTTCCTACTTTCTCCTAGCCTCTGCTGTTTGCCAGTTCCAGCTACTCACAGTGCCTCTTGGTGGCCAGGCACTGAGCTGGGCATGGACCTGGGCTTCCATCCAACATCTTTGGATACTCTGTGATGCTCATACACAGAATACACCCAAGTGCCACTTTTCTTTCAGATGTGGCCCCTAGCCTCTGAAAATTTATAATGCAACCCACCAACGGCATTGCTATTTCTCAGTCTTATCAAGGACGCCATCCTTTCTTACTCCTACCATTGCTCCAGGGTGAAAGCAGTTGTATGAGGATTCATCTAGCCAGACCTTCCCAAGAACATTGTTCTTTGGCCAGTCCCATGGGTGGTGGTTGTATGTCACACACAAATGTTCTTCTGCATGTTTGTTCTTATTAGCCACGTACTGATTGTAACACGTTGTGTAGGTACACAGCCTACGATGAGCGTCCTCAGCGTGGTCAACCCCTTCATCTCTCCCAGGCCGCACTTCTTTTCCTGACCTCTCTTCTTTCCCCCCATAGGAATCCTTTCTGGCCATGACAACAGAGTGAGCTGCCTGGGGGTGACGGCAGATGGCATGGCCGTTGCCACCGGCTCCTGGGGCAGCTTCCTCAAGATTTGGACCT